CTAAAGGGCAGCTAAAACTGAAAAATTTGTTAGAAGCAGGAAAATGCGAGGTTGAAGCAAAGTTATTAAAAAATAAGTTAATTGTTGAAAGTTGCAGAACAAGTAATTGCAGTAAAATATTTGATTAAAATAGGAAAAAAAATAGAAAAAAATAGCTGAAGGATGGAAAGGGCTAGAAGCTGCTAGAAGCTAAAAGTAGAAATGTTGCAAACAGCTAAAACAGAACTGCAGCTATTAAAGGCTGTGAGGGACTACATTAAAGTAGCTAAAATCTAGCTAAAAAGGAAAGGACTAGAAGTTGCTAGATGCAGAAAGTAGCAGGAATGTTGCTAACAGCTAAAATAGAACTGTAGCTAATAGAAACATAGTGCTAGCCTAGAAGCAGGAAAGTAGATAAAAGCAACAAAAGCTTAGCTAAAAAAGGAAAAAGTGGGGTAAAAGCTAAAAATCTTTGTTTTATTTATTTATTTATCTGGAGGATAACTATAATCACTTGTTTACACAGCAACTTCAAGGCATCAGGAGTGGCTCGATTCCTACTTTTTATCTGTTGAAACAAGCAAAATGTTGCAAAACAGCAGCTAAAGGCAGCAAAATATTAGATAAATGTTGAAAGAACAAAAAAATTTAAATAACTCTAAATAACAGTTCATCTGGGAACAGAGTTTATTTTAGGAAACAGTTGTTATTTATTATTTCTCTGTAGATACAAGAAAGTCGTGATTTTTTAAAAACTAAATAAGATGTAGGTTTTGATGACGTGATGTTTAACAGGACATCAGCAGAAATTGTTTGATGTGATAAAATCTTATTTCGGATGATTCGTCTCAGCTGACTGTAAACAATAAAACAGAATAAAGAAAACAGAAACATAAACAAAGTGTTTTGTGTGATCTCATGCATGTATATTTTGTGTTTAGCTGTGTTTAATTAGCTGTGGCGGCCATCTTGTATTTCTCTGACTGAGTGGTATAACGTGCATCCAAAGACTATGTGGTTTTAAAAGTTATTTTGCCAACAAAACTTTCAAAAACTTTTTTTTTTGTGATTTAAAATAATGTGTGTGTTTAAAAAGCGATTAATATCATAATCTTTTAACAACGAATAATTTCATAATTTTGAAAAAGGACTTTGAAGCCTTGTTTTTAAAGGAATTATCAGTTAATTATTAAACTAAAGTTAACAGATTAAAGTCTTTGATTAAATGAAGAATTTACAARTTGCTCAACTGATTTTAAAACTCATCACTTTATTGATCATTTTATTATTGCTAATAAACAAACTGAGCTGTTTAAAAACAAATTATTGTTGATCTAATGATTCAGGTTTAACTTAACTTAAACCTCCGAGGTTTTAAAGTCCTTGTTTTTATTGATTGTTTGTTTYTGCAGGAACAAACGGCTTCAACATGTCGGCTGACGAGGAGATGAACACAAACACAACAAATGAAGTTAAACTGGTGAGAGCTGCTGCCTCTGTCCTTCACTTCCTGCTGCTGCTTCCAGGTTTTTACCAAATAACTCCATGTTTCTGTTTGTGGCTCAGGTCAGACCCAAGGTGGAGCTGCACTCTCTGCTTCAACACGCCGGAGCCACCAAAGATGTCTTCACCATGAAGGAGGTAACAGATCGCCTCCAACAATAACACATGAATAGATTTAATAAAAGTCTAAATGTAGCAAAAACAACTGACAACTTCATGAAAAAAAACTATCAAAAAGTGTTTAGTGGCAGCTGAAAGCTAAGATGTTTTTTTTAAAAAACAGCTACATGCTGAAAGTAGCAGAACAATTGCTAAATATAGCAAAATGCAAGCTAAAAACAAAAATGATTGCTTAAAGTAGGTAGAAGAAGAAAAGGGCTAAAAGCTGCTATTCTTAGCTACTAGCAGCTTCTAGCCCTTTCCTCCTTTTAGCCAGTCTCTTAGCTACAGTCCTGTTTTAGCTGTTAGCAACTGTGCTGCTACTCTTAGCTTCTAGCATCTTCTATCTCTTCCCTTCTAAGAGTAGCAGAGTGGTCACTAACAGCTAAAACAGGACTGTAGCTAATAGAAGCTCAAGGCTAGCTAAAAGAAGGAAAGATCTAACTTAAAATAGCAAAAACCTAGCTAAAAGAAGCTGCTAGAAGCTAAGAGAAGCAGAGCGGTTGCTAACAGCTAAAACAGGACTGTAGCTAATAGAAGCGCAAGGCTAGCTAAAAGAAGGAAAGAGCTAACTTAAAATAGCAAAAACCTAGCTAAAAGAAGCTGCTAGAAGCTAAGAGTAGCAGAGTGGTCGCTAACAGCTAAAACAGGACTGTAGCTAATAGAAGCGCAAGGCTAGCTAAGAGAAGGAAAGAGCTAACAAAGTAGCAAAAACCTAGCTAAAAGAAGGAAAGGGCTAGAAGCTAAGGGTAGCAGAGTGGTCGCTGACATCTAAAACAGGACTGTAGCTAATAGACTGGCTAAGAGGAGGAAAGGGCTTGAAGCTAAAATCAGGAAACGGTTAAAACAGGACTAGATAATGGAAGCAAAATGCTAGCTAAAAGAAGGAAAGAGCTAACTTAAAGTAGCAAAAACCTAGCTAATAGAAGGGAAGGGCTAGAAGATGCTAGAAGCTAAGTGTAGCAGAGCAGTCGCTAACAGCTAAAACTGGACTGTAGATAATACAAGCAAAAGGCTAAGAGAAGGAAGGAAAGAGGAAGGGAAAGGGCTAGAAGCTGCTAGAAGCTAAGAGTAGCAGAGTGGTTGCTAACAGCTAAAACAGGACTGTAGCTAATAGACTGGCTAAGAGGAGGAAAGGGCTTGAAGCTAAAAATAGGAAACAGTTAAAACAGGACTAGCTAATAGAAGCAAAATGCCAGCTTAAAGAAGGAAAGGGCTAGAAGCTGCTAGAAGCTAAGGGTAGCAGAGCAGTCGCTAACAGCTAAAACAGGACTGTAGCTAATAGAAGCACAAGGCTAGCTGAAATAAGGAAAGGGCTAGAAGCTGCTAGAAGCTAAGGCTAGCAGAGCAGTCGCTTACAGCTAAAACAGGAMTGTAGCTAATAGACTGGCTAAGAGGAGGAAAGGGCTTGAAGCTAAAATTAGGAAAGCAGTAAACAGTTATAGAAGCAAAATGCTAGCTAAAAGTAGGAAAGAGCTAACTTAAAGTAGCAAAAACCTAGCTAGAAGAAGGAAAGGGCTAGAAGCTGCTAGAAGCTAAGAGTAGCAGAGTGGTCGCTAACAGCTAAAACAGGACTGTAGCTAATAGAAACAAAAGGCTAGCTAGAAGTCGATGCAGAGTAAAAATGAAATGTAGAACAAAAAACACTAAAACAACAACGTTTGTTTATAAAGATGATTTGGAAGCTACTTAGAAAGAACTGAGCTGTGAATCTAGACTAAAAAAAGAATAAATTTAAAGACTAAAAGCAGCTGCAGAACCTGAGCGAACACTCAGCTGTTTGTGAGCTGTGGGCGTGTGCTCCTGCAGGTGATGTTCTACCTGGGTCAGTACATCATCCAGAAGCAGCTGTACGACCAGAAGCAGCAGCACATGGTGCACTGCGCTCAGGACGCTCTGGGCCGAGTCCTGGGCGTCGACAGCTTCTCGGTCAAAGAGCCGCGGTGAGTCGCAGGAACATTTCGCCTCTAAGCTCTGTGTTTTTCTACAAACTCAAACCGGTTCTGTTTTTCAGACGTCTGTTTGCCATGGTCACAAAGAACCTGGTGTGTGTGAGGAACCAGGGTGAGCCTCTCTTCATGTGAAGGTCAGACCTCTTCAGTTTCAGTGGTTTCAGCTGGAGTTTGGTTGTTTTTCAGATCCTGCAGTGAGCTCAGGTGAAGGACAGAGTCAGGTGGACAGGAGGACAGAGGTGAGACAGCAGGACCACCTTCAAAAGTTCACGTTTAACAAGTTGGAAGRTTTTTCTAAGAAGGATTGTTTTCAGGCCTCAGGGATGGCGACTCRCTCCTCGACTCCAGACAGGAGGAGGAGACGGAGGAGGAGCAGCAGGAGCAACGACCCAGGTCAGTTTCTCCTCTACAGTGCCGCCCCCTTTTACTCCAGCTCGACACACCTGTGACATAAGCCCCGCCCACCTGATCTCCACAGGTCCCTCGCGCAGCGTAGACGGCGAAGATGAGGATGAACCTGAGGAAGACGACAGGAAGAGGAAGAGGTCGGACAGCTACTCGCTGACGTTTGACGACAGCCTGTCGTGGTGCGTGATTGGTGGACTGGGGAGTGGGCGGGACCGAACAAGCAGTCATTCATCTGACTCTCACAGCACAGTGAGTATAACACACACAACACACACAAACACACTACTGTACAACACCTTGTGAATTCCGTTTCTGTGAAAGGCGCTCTATAAATAAAATTTTACTTACTTACTTACACACACACACACACAGAGGTGATGACACTGATTTATGATGTGTGTGTGCAGTCGGAGAGGTCAGAGGTCGCTGCAGCTGCTTCAGACTCTGACAGCGATAACTTCAGCGTGGAGTTTGAGGTGGAATCCATCGACTCTGAGGACTACAACGAAGACGATGCTTCTTTGTCTGCAGACGACCAGGTGAGCTCCACACACACCTAGGGCTGTAGCCATGCACTAATCTCACGATACGATATACGATATTCTGCTCACGATACGATACATATCACGATACGGTTCGATTTTCTGAACGATTTTAGAGGGACAGAGTGATTTGGTGACATTTTGTGACTGTTCCATAGACTTGGATTGAATTAATTGAACTGAACACTGATTAAAAGCACCAACTACACAATACCTGCTCTGACTGGACAGAGACTTAGAGTCTACAGCTGGACAAAATTAATCAAAGAGGCAGTGAGAAACATTAGTTTCCTTTAATAGAAACAGTGCAAACTGTAGCTGACAAGCCTAAATAATATTTGGTTCCATCCAGGTAACTTTGGCAAATAAAGAGTAAATGCTCCCAAATCTTCAGGATTTGTTGTTTTATTATGAGAGTAATTAACACAGTTAAAGATTTGGAGATAAATTATTTTGTTCCCATGTCACAGAGTGGGAACAGATTATTTTAAACAACTGAAATATTTGGTTCTTGTATCAGCAATAAAAAAATTATAAATCCACTAGGGGGCGTAAGAAAATATCGATACACTGAAATATCGTGATATTTCATTTCCCGATACTGTATCGATATTCTAAAGCCCTGTATCGATTTTTTATTAAGGTTTAAAATGTCAACTTTCCATCCAGCCGTTCATTTTTATGTTGTAGTTCAGCCTCTGACCACTAGTTGGCAGCAGTGAGCCAGACATTTGGCTCCTCTACCTCTTGAGCGCCAGAGAGTAAGGGTAGCATCATTGTGAGTAAACATTAGCTTCATGCTCCGATAGCTGAGTCTGAGCAGAAAAGACCGACACCCTCTGTCTTAAAGCTGAGGTAAGGTTACCAACAGTTACTTATTTGTCAGGATGTCTGTATTTTAAGCCAAATTAAGTGTTTTGTGCGCTTTTTTTCCCAACTTTAGTCAACCTTCACTTTACAGAAGGCTAGCGCATGAGTCTAGCGTCTCGAGCTCAGCACTCCCCCCGTGACATAAAACTCTAAATGTCAATATTCGGCTGATCACATCAAAGTCCATAATACTTTAAGTTTATCCTGCTGTGTTCACTTCAAAAACGGTTTAACTGTGTTGTTTAGCTTCTCCATTTATTTACAGTTTATTTTCAGGACCTGCTGTTCGACCCACAGTTATACAAATCATGTTCTGCAGGTCAGCTGATCCCAGAAACTCTGTGTGCAGCAGCTTCATATCATCTGTTTACTGAACTTTATGACAACATAAACACTATTGTTAAGTGTTGGGTGACCATATTATAAATTAATATTAAAAACTAAAAGCTGCAAAAAAWAAATTTCAAACTATTTATTGGCAAATTTAGTCTAATAATTGAAAACATGGGTGAAATATGAAACAAATAAAACACATACAAAGCAGAACAGTCTATGTAATATTAGAATTTTCTGAGACAACGAATTTTGGTTTTTCATTTTGTTTTGTTTGGTAAGAGGTTTTTATTTAATAGAATTTTTGGACAAAAAAAATTGCAATAAATTGCCTTGCTTACAGCATCGCAGTATATCGGGATATATCGTATCGTGACCCCTCTGACATATGTATCGTATCGCCTAATTCTTGCCAATACACAGCCCTAAAATCCACACAGTGTGTTGAGGCTAAAGACAACATGAAAGTTGGAAAAGGACTGCTTCTCTTTGCGATTAAAAAGGCCAGGTTTTATTTTTTTATTCATTTAAGAGTTTTTTTTTTTTAACCGCAGCTGATGATTAAACTGAAAGTTACCTTGACAAGATCTTTTAATGAGAAATTGATCAGAAGCGCTGTGAAAATGGTCTGATCCGCCTCTCTGGCTACAGTGTGCCCTCCAGGCACGGGGGGAACAGATTTTCACAGGGGAACTGAATTTCGCACAACACCCCCTAAGCTGGAGGTGCTACACGCCTGCCTTCTGTAAGGTGACTACAGTCAGAGAAAGAGCACCTCGAATGAGACACTTCAGTTTGACTTAAAATACAAACCTTCTGACTAATAAGGGACTGTTGGTAACCTTATACTTAGACTTTGTGTCCGGGACAAATTTTGTAAGAAATGGGTTTTTTTTATACCTGGAAGGGATTTACTTTAATGGGGTACCAATAAAATTAATGGTACTTTTTATGCAGACGAACATGGTCTATCTCTTGGACTATTACCTCAGCCTAGAAGGCAGAGGGCGTCTTTTCTGCTCAGATTCAGCCATCGGTGCATGATGCTAATGTTTACTCACCATGCTAAGGAGGAGCCAAATGTCTTACTGCTGCCGACTAGTGGTCAGAGGCTGAACTACAACATAAAAATGGAGCGTTGGCAGGAAAGTTGACAAACCTTAATTAAAAATTGAWACAGTATCGGGAAATGAAATATCGATATATATCGGTGTATCTATATTTTCCTACACCCCTACACACACCTGGAGTGGACGATGATGTCATCAACATGAAACGTGCTCACGAAGCTCCTGTTACCCGTTCCTTCGTCCTCTCAGGTGTATGAGGTCACCATCTTTGAGGACGATGACGACGACGAGGACGACACAGAAATCACAGCAGCTGTGAGTCGAAGCGTGTGAAAGTTACACACACACACACACACACAAACACACACACACCTGTCAGCAGGGTTCGTACACTTTTCCCACAGTAAAGTTCAAGCACTTTTCAAGGTAAATTTTCAAATGTCCTGATGCATCTCAGTAATCCAGGTAGAAAAAAATGAAAAAGAAAAAATCAGTAGGTCCTCTGGATGGTTCATCTTTAGTGAAACGTTTC